AATTCCAAATTTCCCCAATTCCAAATTTCCCCAATTCTAAATTTTCCCAATTCCAAATTTCTCCAATTCCAAATTTCCCCAATTCCAAATTTCCCCAATTCCCAATATCCCCATTGTCCTTAGAAGAAATTGCGTGCAACTCTGACGAAAACACACGGTCGGCCAACAGGGAGGACCCTGTGAGAGTGCGCAGGATCGCGGAGGGGAAAGGAGGATCGACGAAAGTTAGTCGGAGTAAGAGGGAAGTCAGGGTGGAAGGAGAGGGTGATCGTTGGATTGCGCACACGCGCGGGATTTCCCGGGAATCGGGTTTTTCCGGGTCTGCGACACGGTTTTCCCTCGTTCGGCTCACTCGAGCGTCCGACGCGCGACACGGCAACAGGTGACCACCGACATCCTTCAGGAGCAGCAGAACGATCCAGTGCCCGAAGGATTCACGAGTAAGAGTGAAGACCGGCTTCGCGCGCCACCGAATTCGAAGTCGTGTTCGTGGTTCGAGTGGAAGGCTGACGGATTCGAGGAAGGAAAATGAGCGTCGAGGACGCCATCAACTATAAACCCAGCGAGGAGGAGGATTACTATGCTCTTCTGTCGTGCGACGAGTCCGCGACGGTAAGCTACATTCCTTTTCTCCTTCCACTGGATGAATGGCTTCTTTCAGTGTTGCCAATTTTGTGAACAGTTTATGCTGCAAACAAATGTAGGCGTTCTTGGTGGCATTCTCTATGGCAGATATGTTGTCGGTCGGTGTAGAGTGTAGGGTAGTCGGAGTTGGAGAAAATTTGTTCTTTGGATTGTTTTTGATTTTCTATGAAATTGTGATGGAATTACAAAATTAAGCAACGTCAGGAATGTAATGTTAGGTGATGTCGGTATGTAATACGATTATTGGGACTTGTGGCATATTTATTCTTTGTAATGCACTGTTTTTGAATTAGCATAACGCTTTTTATGGACGAGTATTTCTTGTATAAGTATTATTGTTTTATCACCTTTATTTTTATCTGGTTGTCAGACGGTGTTGCACTAGAAAATGATAAGTGGAGTTGTATTAAGAGACAGGAAGTTAAAGAACTTTCTTTGTAGTGAAGAAAAGTTCTTTTGAATAATCTTCCTTAAATCTTCAAATCGGCAAATTCCGCAGATTCCATAGATTCCTTAGATTTTCCAATTTCCCAAATTCTCAAATTTCCAAATTTTCAAATTCTCAAATTTTCAAATTTCCCCAATTCCCAATATCTTCAATTCCCAATTTCCCCAATTCCAAATTTTCCCAATTCCAAATTTTCCCACTTCCATATTTCCCCAATTCCAAATTTTCCCACTTCCACATTTCCCCAATTCCTAATTTCCCCAATTCCCACATTCTCCAATTCCAAATTTTCCCAATTCCAAATTTCCCCAATTTCCAATTTCCCCAATTCCAAATTTTCCCACTTCCACATTTCCCCAATTCCTAATTTCCCCAATTCCCACATTCTCCAATTCCAAATTTTCCCAATTCCAAATTTCCCCATTTCCAAATTTCCCCAATTCCAAATTTTCCCACTTCCATTCTCCAATTCCCAATTTCCCCAATTCCAAATTTCCCCAACTTCTAATTTCCCCAATTTCCTAGATTCCCTAAATTTTCAAATCCTCAAACTCCTAAATTCCCAATTTTGCCTAACATTTCTAAAGTACAAATTCATTTCTGACAAAATCTAAGTCCACCACTTGAAACTTAAATTACCTCTAATTAACAAATATTAAGTAACAAATACACAAATTTGTAACCATTTGTAATTATTGAACCCACATAAAACAATGTTATAGCATCCTTTTGACAATCAAATTTTTGGCAATGAACAAAAGATATGAAACAACAAATCCAACAAGTATTACCATAACAAAATAAAGTTAATAAAACCAATTTTGTTAACCGTTTATTACAATTCTATTGCGAAGGATTTTTCCACTTTTGACTTTCATTGACTTATCTCCACTAGATATTGGATTTCATGTTGGTTTCCAATGTTTGAATTGAGAATTGTTATTTCAAGTTCAGTTTTGTGTTTACTTTATGGACGCCGATATTTTTCTACGATACATTGTTCGATGATCGTACTGCAGATTTTTATGCATTTATGTCGTATGCAAATACTGGAGATGGAATGAAATAAATTCTTGCACGTCCAACTATAACAGGGATTCGGAATTACATGGTGACTTTTCGAAATATGATTTTATTTATTAAATATGTATATGCAATTTTTGAGGATGTTGGTAAAATTTTACAGAATGAATTGTGTATTTTGATGTTTATTAAATATTTTGTACATCCTTTGTTAAATACGAAATTATGCGTCGATTATCGAATTATTAAAGCATTATAGCTTCAATTATCGAACGTGTCAACTACACGTTAGTATTTTGTACTTCCGCATTATATTTCATTATTAAAGATTCTATACAAACTTCTTTCGTTAATTTCTATTAAAACTACATTTCGGTTAATTAATTTTCACAAGCCGCAGCTTCGGATTAAACTCTCTTTATACGCAGATTTTTAAACCGAAATCATATCAGAGGAACTTCCTCTATTCTCAAGAACCTAATCAAAGTAGAAAGAAACTTTTGACGGAAGAGTGGAATGAAGGAAACTACGAGTGACCTTATACCACGCGTATTACATTTACGTGTGTTACGTAAAGTCTACACAGTTTCTACGCTCGTAACACGGTTTAATCTACTCTTTTATTCATCATTAATTTACGGTGATGATAATCATGAGCGTAGAGTAGGAAACTTTATATGAAACTTCTGATGTTCTGAAAGTTGCAAATTTTTAATTTTGCTAATTTTCAATTTCTCAATTTCTCAATTTCCCAAATTTCCAAATTCTCAAGTTTCTAACTTCTCAAATTTCTAATTTCTCAAGTTTCCAACTTCTCAAATTTCTAACTTCTCAAGTTTCCAAATTCTCAAATTTCTAACTTCTCAAGTTTCCAACTTCTCAAATTTCTAACTTTTCAAGTTTCCAAATTCTCAAATTCCCAACTTCTCAAGTTTCCAAATTCTCAAATTTCCAACTTCTCAAGTTTCCAACTTCTCAAATTCCCAACTTCTCAAATTCCCAATTTCTCAAGTTCCCAACTTCTCAAGTTTCCAACTTCTCAAATTCCCAACTTCTCAAATTCCCAAATTCTCAAATTTCCACCTTCTCAAGTTTCCAAATTCTCAAATTCCCAACTTCTCAAATTCCCAACTTCTCAAGTTTCCAAATTCTCAAATTCCCAATTTCTCAAGTTCCCAAATTCTCAAATTTCCAACTTCTCAAGTTTCCAACTTCTCAAATTCCCAACTTCTCAAGTTTCCAACTTCTCAAATTCCCAACTTCTCAAATTCCCAA